TCTCTCCTCGTCCCCCACGCTGCCCCTCGGCACCTTCGGTCGGTGACAGGCGGGTTAGGAGGTGCCGAGCGCGTTGAGATTAACGGCGCTGTCACGGAAGCGCCTCCCGGGCTGCGGCTTGGAGCTCACCTGGGCGAGTTTGCCCCTGGTCCTGCACCCTTCCACGTACCTCCCAGGATGCCGGTCCATTCTGCTCCCGGGGGCTCCTGGCTGACTCRGGGAGCTAGCTCCGGAGTAACAGCACGGAGAAAGCGAACGTTTCCCGTGGCCCGGCTCGCAGGAACGGCCGTGCCTGGGTCKGGCGAGACGGAGCGGCAGTTCAGAGCCCGGTGCCTCGAGCCGGTGCCTGGTGTAGCCTGTGGAAGTGCCAGCGGTTTTTGTGCCGCTGTGGAAATGGAGCGGCAGCCCCAGGGGCTCGCGCTGCYGTGGGTCTGCGCAGTGCTTCTTCAATGTGTAGCAGTGGCTTCAGAGGCGCAGATCTTTCTGGGGTTCTTTTTTGTTTTGTTTTTCTCCCACGTGGGGAGAGCTTTGTGCTCTGGCTAGACATGCTTTATTTTGTYGTCAGCACTAGTAATTCCTAGCGCAAAGTAAGTCGCTGTGTTTCTGCTCGGCATGATGCTGCGCCTGGCTTGGTCCCTGCACAGCCGGGAGCGCCGAGTGCAGCTCTGCGGGCTGCAAGGAGGCACAGCCGGAGCGGGGCTGGGGCAGTTGAGCAGCTCCTCGGCGCTCTGCAAGCTCCCATTCTGTTTGGGCTGCACTGCCAGGGTCTTTCTTGTATTCTCAGAAACTTTTCAATTTAAAAAAAAAAAAAAAAAAAGCTTTAACCACCTGGACATGGTGGCTGTGAAATCCTCCGGAGCCAGGTGATCCTGTAGAAGACTAGGTGCATGCTTTGGCGCTCTTTCTGAGACTCCAAGGCCAGCTGTTCTTTTACAGTCACCGGCAATGAAATGTTTATCTGCTCTCTTGGTACCACCAGTTAGTCCCAAGAGTAGAGGATGTGATCAAGTGGTCTCACGTATATCGTTGTTAGTGCCCTAGCACTGGCTTAGGCTGCCTGTTATTTGGGGTAGACTTTGTGCAACTGGACATGAAGAAGGTGATTCCAGAGTTGCTGCTTTAGACGAGTTTAAAGGGTGAAGATGGCACAGTTTGGAAGGTGGCTTCCCCATACCAAGACTTCACTGAGTTGATACCAGAGAGGAGAGCACAGGGATAGCTTGGGAGGCTCAGGCAGCTTTGGAGAGCTGCTTTTGCAGCCATAGAATCACTTTCTTCTGATCTGTACAGCTTCTTTTCCAGCACCGAAGGGTATAGGCTTGTCATTTGCATTGTAAATAGGAATATATAGCCTTTGCTCAGTCCAGTGAGCACTTTGAATATGCCTGGCTTCACAAGTGCCTCTTATGAGCTGCTTATTGATTTCTGCTTTGGTTCTTCATCCGTACTTCTTGATATTTACCAAAATAGCATTTGGAAAGCACGTTAATAGTTTGAGCAGATTCAGGACCTGACAAGCGCAATTGAATTTTCAGTTTAACTGGATTATGCTCCACTCCTCTCACCTAGCAGCTTGGCATCGCAAGCTCATTGTGGAAAGCAGTTGGTGCTCAGTTTTCTGAGTAGCAAATCTACATCCACGGGTGCCCTAGGGATGGGCTGAGGATGATGAGGGTGGTGGGAGGGAGGCCATTGCCRTGGAAAGAGCCCCTTGGCCCCAGCCCTGGGCGCTGTCCTCGAAGGCAGGGAGAGCRGGTTCTGGCACCGGGCTTGCAGCCTGGGAGCTCTCCAGACACCTCTCACTGTGTGGCTGGCATCCGAACTAAAAGCGAACAGTAGATGGAGACAAAAGTTTTCTCGCTTCTGCAGTCGTGCTCAGCTCTGAGATGCTGAAAGAGTCGAGCTGAACAGAGCTAGTTGGTCAGTGTGGAGTCCCGTGGTGTAGCTGTCTTCTGGCAGCAGTTTTTGTGGAAGACCTTTATTTATTCCTTCCCTAAAGAACAGAAAAAAACTTTTACTGTTAAGCCTTCCTTTACTATTACTGTGGGGTTTTGTTTGTTTGTTTGTTTTTGTTTTCTTTTTTATGGGACTATGTAAAAATGCTTGGTTCTCGATATATATAAATGCAGTGAATAGGGTTTTTTTTTCCCCGCTAACATTTTTTATGACAAGTTGGTTTTGCTTTCTGAATGCAGTAGCTGATAACTTTCTCTTTTGCTCACAGAGCAAATTCTGCACTCTGGCTGGGCAAAAGTTGTTCAGTTTCTGTTCTGTACCTGCTGGGCCAGGAAAATAGGTGCTTAAACCTGCTTTTTGGTGATGATTTTCTTGGTATTTGTGTGTAATGCTTAAATACACTGGTAAAAGAATTGTGTAGATCAGTTGGAGTTGGAGCTTTTTTTTTCTGCAAGCTGCACAGAGTGAGACACTACTGTGTTCAAAAATGTTGCTGACTTTCCTATGATGACTATTTATGCAAAAGATATTTGCACTGCAGGCAAAACCAAGGATGTGCTGGCCACTTTCATACTGTAAATTTTCTGCTCTAGTTATGATCTCCTACTGGCCTGTTGAGCCAGATGTGACTTTTAGTAGCTGCAGAAGTAGCCTGGGGCCTCTAGATCATGACTGAGGTTTTCTGAACTCTGAATATTAAAGTATCAGATTTAACGTCTTAGCAGAGTTCTTTAGTATTTCATTGTGTGTATTGTAGCTTTTTAGAGGATGTTTGCATCGTGCCACTTTGCTGTAGGTTCAGATAGGTTCTAGAAACTACTTATTTGTAAATATAATTCAGTTGAAAATAATCTGGTTTTGGTGTCATGCATACAGCTGTTTGTGTGTGTATATATATGTTCATTACCACTGAATAAACATTGTGTGTGTATATAGATATCTGCATATGCATGTGTATATGTGTGCACACACATGTGCACACTTATATGCTGGTCCAGTTCTTGAATTTGTTTTTTTCTTGCCTGAGCAATTTACCACCTTTAGAATTTTATCTTTGCTTCTTGATGTGGTAGTTATAAAGTTATAAAAGTTATAAGTTATAAAATAKTAGTAACAGCTAATGAACAACTTTCTTTGGTTCAAATGCAAGTGACCATCACATTCTGATCTTCCTTAAAAGCTCTGCTTCGAAAGTAGATATTCGCAATTAGCACTAACTCTTTTTTTAATGTTTTACTTGCAGCAGAAATCAGAACGGAAAATATTCATCCACTTCTCTGAGCCTTTTGAAAAGTGACTAAATGCAACTGGGGCAGGTTTTCTGTGGGCATGAAGTGGCTGGGAGAATCCAAGAACATGGTGGTGAATGGCAGGAGAAGTGGAAGCAAGTCATCTAATGACCACCCGCAGAACCAGACCAAGCTGCAACACACAGGAAAGGAGAATCCCAAGAGTGGCAAAAATGGAGTCGAGAGAAGATCGAGCAGATGTAGGCACTTATTTATGTTGCATAATGTCGTATGGGGTTCATCTTGTCAATGTTTAAAGAAGTGGTTTTTTAACTGGAAAGTCAGACTTTGATTTTTGTCTTAATTCATGAAGCACATTATGTTCTCAGTATGTACTTACCAGTTTAATTATGTTTGTATTAGCTGCAATAGCTTAGGCATATGGGTCTCTTCAGTTCAAAAGTGAAATGAACATCGTATTATAAATATATTTTGTACTGCATGCAAAATACACTACTCACGCTAGCTGGAAATTAGTGTGATTGGAAATGATTGCAGGTAACAYTTATATWACAAGCCTAGCTGAATGTTTGTGTAGACATAAATCTCACTTTGAATAAAGTCACCTRTATCAATAGCAGCTCTGAAGCTGCTTTTAAAGAGCATGGATTTTTATTTTCATTATTGATTGGGGATGAAGAACTAAAACCAAATTCAGAGTAAATCTTCTGTTCAGATTYTGGAAAAATGTGTTCTGTGTTTTCATGGGTTTATCATGCTTATTGGCCTGAAATTTCAGGAGYGAGTGCGACAGAACTGTGTACTGTGGAAAGATTGATTTGTATGTATTGGAAGGGGCAGTGGACACAACTGAAGGCACCCATAAGATGTTTTACAATCCTTTCTCCATTGGCTGTCARATGAACCAACAAATGCACAAGTGAAAAGCTAACTGTGCCCATGTCTTTCTTAAGTGCTCCATCCTCTGCCCTCCATGGCAAGAAATACAGCTTGACTTGATAGTTTGGTAGCCCTAAGCAATGTCTCATTTCTGCCATTCTGTTTGCAGGTAGTGGTGCTGCAGGATTTGAGGGCCAGAGTCGTTACGTGCCTTCCTCGGGAATGTCCGCCAAGGAGCTGTGTGAAAACGACGACCTAGCGACTAGTTTGGTTCTTGATCCCTATTTAGGTTTTCAGACACACAAAATGAATACTAGGTAACTTGTCTTTATTCTTCTAGAAAAGAATTGATCATCTTTTTGATGTAATCAGAGGACAACTGTGGGTTTGCCTGCATGTTTACAAAAGTCTGAAGAATAGCAATTTGTGAGTAGCTTCAGCCTTTAAAGTGGTGAAGAACTTGAGGCTGAAACTTAGAGCCTTGCAACAGCATGCATCTGTAACACTATCTAGGTATTTCTATTACCTTTCCTGTAAAATTCTGCTGTAGAATAGGATGTTAATAGACACGGTGTCTTCTGACTTAAACAGTTAATTATTAGTAAGATTTAAACCATTAGCCATTTGAAATAGCTCTTAAAGGAGTGTTTAGGGAGTTTTCTGTTTTTCCAATGCCATATCTTTTGTTATACCATTATYCTAAGAGTGGCTTCCCCTCTGAGGCACCTCAGTCGTGGTGCTACTTGTTCATGTGGACCCGTGCTGAAGGACTGCCACTCAGACATGTCTGTGTGTATAGATAAAGTGCACAGTGAGAACCTGCTTGCCGAAACTGCACGTGCTTTTTTTGTGCTGCTGTACACCTGTCTGAATCCTTCTGTCCTGAATTCAGCATGGGCTTGTGGTTCAGTTGCTGCATGCTGCTTCCTGTTCTACAGATGTGCCGCCAATCATAAGTATAGTCTGTAGATCCCTGTTAATCTCTTAGTTGTGAATAAGATCTGTATTCCTGTGCTTAAAGGAGAAGGTGTGTGTATATATTATATATGGTAAGCTTCGAAGGGCAGGAACAGTGGTTTAGGTCCTGTACAAACAAATGGGAGACCTTGATCACATCGCGGGAAACAGACTGCTTATACCTCAAACCTGTTGCCATGACTATTTGTAAAGAACAGCTCACCTGGGCACCACAGTCATGTTCAGTGTGTCAGTTATGTGGATTTTTATGTACGTGATAAGCTGATAGGCCAAAAATGCCTGCTAAATTAACTGGTGGTGTCACATGCTGTAAATGGTTGCTGGTATAGCCTGGCAGCAGGATTTGTACATGGAACTGCAGCAGTGTGGTCCCTGTAACTGTAAAGGCTTACCAAAAGATGGTTTACTCTTTCCACAGAGAGCAACATCCATGTTGACAGGGACTGCTTGCTTTCTTCCTCTTGTCACCATGCTGTTGATTGCAATAGCACGTTGAGCCCAAAACAGTGTCTAGATGGGTACTCTTGCGGCTATCGTAGGGACCTTATGTTTCCAGTAGTTAATTGAGCTACTTATATGTGCTCAGCATTAATTTTTCATAGGTGATAGTCTACAGAAGTGTGCATGTTGSTAATTTGTGTGCCTTCTGCTAAGGAAATTAAGGCAAATATTCAATATTTAATAGTGGAAGAATCTGCTTTTGTAAATGTTATGTTTTTGGCTCATATTTTCTACTGTAAAATACTTGTACTGATTTGAGGTGAAAGACTACACAAAGGCTGTCATATTTCTTTCTTTCTCAGAGTGCAGGCAGTCTTCAATGACAATAGCTATGAATCTTGGAGTACAGTGAGAAATACTTAGGTGAAGCTTAAAAATCCTATCAGAAATGCATCTTGTCTCTTAATGTCCTATTGAGAGAGTTTCTGTTGTTGCAATTAATTAAAATAAGGGCGTCATCATTTATGAGCATCAGCTCTTATCTTTTTGGTAGTGTGATGAGATCTGCTTATTATCATGGCTGCGTAGCTTGGATCTTCTTCCTTGCGTCTAGCAAGATGTGCTTGTTAGAAGTCCCAAGATGTATTGCTGGCATACAACATTGACAGAAAGGGGGAAAAGTGCATTAAAAAAAAAAAGAGAGCAGTGTCAAAAAATCAGATGCTGRTACCCAAATATATTCTTGGAGCAGAAATTACGATTTACAGCTTGGGTTTCATCTTTTGCTTCAGTGTTGTAAAGCCATATAAATATAGTTTACTAGGTAGGCTTAGGTAGGTTTTAGTATAAGCCTACCTAAATAAGGTAGGCTTAAAACAAAGCATTTGTTCATGGTAGCAAGCAAATATTTTGTGTTTCCTTTTTCTGAATGATTTGAAGACCTGCTTTGGAAACTGCTGTGTGCCAGGTGTTCTGTTCAGCTATTGGAAATGCATGTGGGGGTTGTATTTTTGCAACTAGTAGGCCAGTGTAAGTTGGTAATGGCTTAGTGAAGTTGCACTTTACCTCAGGAAGCCAAGTTTGTATTTTGTATGTATGTCTTATGTGAACACTTGATGTACTGTCTCATTTTGCTCACGGTATAGCTCTGAAAATTCTAGCTAAATATCTCTATTATTGTTAGAGCCTTATTGTTTTCTTTTTCACTGTTTTCCATCTTTATGCTGAATTTGTGGTCGTGTGGTAGAGTGGTAACAAGAATCTGTTTGCATTTTTCCTGATTGTTTTTTTTAATTTTTGTTTGGTTTTGTCCAGAAGCCACATAAATGAAATGCCACACTTTGTCAGGTCCTCTCTTGAGGAACTGATGTGCAAGTTCTGTGAGCTTTCAGGTCAGCAGTGTCTGAGGGAGTTGAATGCTGGTTCTCAAAAAGATTTCAGTCAGATCTTCTAGTCACTTTGTCCAGTCAGCCTCAGGAGTCTCTCATTACTGTGGTCTTGATGGACTGCATAAAACTTACACATGGAAAATTCTGTGGTGTTACCCAAAAGTAACACCAAATTTCCCATTTCTCAGATTTCCAAGAGAAAGCAGATTGTTTCCTGAGCTTCTGACCCTTTTCACAGATCATCTGGTCATTCCTGTCCAAATCAGTAGCTCTTATGTTAGCAAAATAGTAGGATAGCGGTTAGTCCAAAAAGCCCATATGTTAGGTACTGTTGTGTTGTCAAATATAGCTATTCTAAGAGGTTTTTGTCACTTCTTGCTCAAATACCACTACATGAGACTTTTTATTTTTTATGACAAAAGCTCTCCTGTAAGATTTAGTCATGCATGTCCTCCTTGTAAAAACAAAACCTGTTATTTTGCAATTTTGCAAATTTCCTGGATTGAAGTTCCCATCATGTAATACTAGGGATTAAAATTTCCACTTGTGAATGACCAAGGGGGGTTAATCATCTTTTCAGGTGTGTTTCCATAGATTGAAGAGTTTTGAAGTTGCATGCTAGTGCACATTTTATAGTACTGCATTAAAGGTATTGTATTTAAATCTTAGCCAGACTCTTGGTTATCATGTGGCTGGTCTCTTACCTGTCACTTGCTGTCACTTCCCGGTTCCCTACTGCTCCAGCATCATGCTGCAGAGTATGGAGAGCAGTTCCTGTGTTTTCTAAGTTTGTAAATAATTTAACCACAATTTCTTGGCTTTTTGAGGAGAATCTAGGTTTGTGTTTTCTAGCTCCTTATTGCTGCTTTCCCTGGTGCTGTGAACTCTCAAGTGGTGAGGGTGATTCTGTCTGATTGTGTGAGACTAAACGAACTGGTTTGAAGAGCAGGTTTATCCAGAGATGTCTTAAGGGAGTCTTAAGGTGTCTTCTTACGGTTTTAAGACCCAAATGTCTGTTTTTCCTGTCAAAAATCATTTTGTTTGATCACTTTGGTCAAAGATCTCTGTTTTTTATTCTTTTTACTTTTGATGCATTTTGTTCAGTAAAATCCTCTAGTTTGCTTCTGCTTCTTTTCTCCTTCTCAACCACATGAAAGTGGTGTTGGAATTAACTGTTCTGCTGCTGTTGAATGCTTTGGATACCAAAATACTACTCTGGTATGGTTTGTGTAGTTGCATCGTTGTCTGGACTTAGTGCTTCATCTCCAAAAGACAGTGGCTTGCACGCCATGCTTGTGCTAACTGCTAAATTAAATTTACGGTTTGGACTGGCAGAAGAAGAGTGCAGGAAAGTTTTTCTCAGTATTTATTAAATTGGACAATTGCAAGAGATTTATTTGCCAATAGCATTAAGGAGAATGAAATTGTGTGGCTGCTGGAATTTTATTTGCTTCTGTTTTAGGCTGTATTTCAGCTTTGACCACGCTGGTGTGTGTAGTTTTAGTTCAAGAAATTTAAATAAAGGTGGATTACTTCACTATTTTTTCTAAATTTTGCCCTTCAAAAACTTTATTTTGGATAACTAGCTTTTAATAAAGGCTCTTGCACTACCAGTCGGAAAAAAAAATTATAAAGCCAGAATTTGTGTTAACTAAAGAAATGGTTTCCAAGTTGGTTATAAATGGTTGGTTTTTCAACTCTTGTTACATTGTGCTGTCTTGAATGCTTAATAGCCCTGCAGTGTTAGCGCTTGTGCTGCATCTCAGACATTAGTAAACAGTAACGTGCTGTCTTTCCACAGCCCCTAAAATAAAATATCTTCTAAACAAAGTGCCCATTGTTCAAGGGCTGTGGGGATGCTGTGTTTCAATAAATGGTTCTTTCTGATGTCTTCTATTGCGAACTCAAGGACCAGGTTTAGCAGTGCAAGTCTGGATTGTGTGGCAGGGCTGCTACTCAGACCCTTGTGTGGGGTCCCAACTGTATCTCTTGCAGGGTCAGTTTATCCTTTCTGTTCAAACTCACTGCTGTCAGTGACTGAGCAAGGTACTGTGCTCCTGAACTTACCAGAACCTCTCCTTTAACTTCCTTTATAGGCAAGCATCTCACTGACCTTTGGCTTTATACCTTGGAGTTTCAAGATTAAGTATTCCCGAGGTAAGAGAAACCTGAGAGAGAGTAAGAACTTTGCTTCCCCAAGCCAGTCTCCCACSTCTTGCTTTTTGAGACCACCTCAGTTTGAGCCTCAAGTGGGATAAGACCATCTTCTAGCTGATTCTGGAATTGCAATTTCCATACCGTTTGATCTTGTTGAGTAAGGAGAAGCAAATATTTTGCAGGCATGTTTGACAAGTTTAAATTTTGCAGCTTGTCAGGAAGAAGGGATATTAATCTTTCTTTAAAGATCCTTGGGTAGATGAGATTTTCACTCTTAGCTGCTTTTCAACAACAGGCAGCTTTGCAGTAGACATCATGCTCTATGGGACTTGGCACCCTGAGCTGTTTGTAAGGTGGCGTGAGGGATCTGTGCATATGGGCAGATGCAGATATCAGAGAATCCTGCTCGTTTTCTGTGAGGGCACCTAATAAAGACAGTGGTTATGGGAGCAAACCAGAAGCTTGGATAAGCATAATATGGACTTTACTGCCTGTACTTAGGGCTTGGGTTGGTTGGCTTGTTTTTCTCGCTAGTTTTCTTTTTCTCTCTGCTATCTCTGTGTTTTTCTTCTGTGAATTAGTCCCTTATTTTACTGGTGCTAAAAGCCACTTTCTTAGGCTAAGCTTTTATATATGTTTAACTTTGCTTTCTTTTTAGGTTGTCTTTATGGTGTTGTTGAAAAGCATGTAGCAGATACTATTATAGATTTCTAGTGTCATATGTCAGTGAGGTTTGAATTAGGATACTGACTTTTGCTGATCTTGACCAAGCTTCTTGTTGATAAAATGAGCATAGTTGTGTCTTAGAGCATGTACAGTGCCTGTCTCAGATGCTCGTGTAATACTGAGTGTGCTGGTTTCCCTGCTTACCCTTGCTCATGTAGATAACTTYGCTTTAAAAAAGAGGCACAGTGAGCTCCATCCAAAATAAAAAGGAGAGGACAATCAATCATTCATGTAGCCCAGCAAGAGTAGAAGTAGATGATGACCAGTCCTGAGGAGGAAAACCCACAGAATTTGCTGCAGTAATGTTTACAATTAAAAATGTATCCAAAGTATTGGTCTGGCTTGCACGTTGGTCTGTTTTTCAGCTCTGGGGATGCAAGTGCAATTGATTCCTTGCAGGAAAAGTTGTTTCTGAATTAACTCAAAATGAGAGCAAGCCCTATCCTGAAACTAGTTGGCTTCAGTTTAGGCTGTGTCATGATGAATACTCTTAATGTGTAGTGAAGCTCATAGTTGGTGCTGCCRAATTTGGGAAAGGCCTCCTTTTTTGGTTTTTGGAGGATGGGAAGGTTTCTCCTTTTAGGTGCGTGACAGTTGAGGGAGACTTCCCTACAGAACAAACCAGCAATAAATAACATAATGCTAGTATTTTCTATAGAGTGAAGGGRTTTTTCCTTGCATGATGGGTTCTCAGCAGCTTGTTAAAGGCTGTTAATGCTTAGTGGAGATGCGATAGAGATGTCCTTTAGGGAAGAACTAATTTGAAGCTTCTTAACCTGACACTTCCTGCTGTTTTCAGTGGGTATGTTTTAGAAATGCATCATCTATTTCTTGACGAATCTTGCCATCTTGTTGGATGTTATCCCAGCCAACAGGAGGTTCATCTCATGCCTTCTTGGAACTACTTGCCGTGTCCTGTGCTGTGAAAGCTGTAAGGGGTTTGCTGATAAAGCTTGTGGTATTGAGAACTAAAGAAAGGCTGAGTCATTACAAGGAAGTTTTTCAGATGGCCCATGCCTGGAAGAGAGCTCTGCAAGAAAGCAGTACCAAAGAACTGGTAACCTGCTTTCCATGGAAGTGGCATTGCTTGAGTAAGGTCTGTCTCTATTGCATCAAGGGCATGCAGGCAGGTTTTGCTTTTTCCTGATAAGGAAGTTAATTTTTCATTGCTCGTTATTTCTGCTTAAGCTCTTCCTGTTTTAAGAGGTAAAATAAAAATGGAATATAGAATGCTCCGCATCTTTTGTTTCTTCAGACAAGTTGAGGATAAACAGTTGTATGTGTTTTTTTGGTCTTTTCAAAATAAGCTACTGGCAATATTTGATATGATGTAATGAAGGTAAGCCAAATGATACAATAATTTAAAGAAACAGAATGTCAGTGAGGGAGGTAGAAAGGTTTCCTTAGGTTAACTTCAAGGACTTATTTCCCTTTATGTTTGTCTTTAAGTACACATATTGAATACTCCAGCTGCTAAGTAATAGGAAATAGAATAAATCTGCAGTGAGGATAATGAAACTGTTATGCACTTAAACAYTTAAAGGAAAAAGTTGTGTCATGAGAATTCGTTCAAAAGCTATCAACTTGTTGAACACCTTTACCATTATGCCGTGTGCGCTTCTTTGTTTCAAAGAGTGCCCTTGGATGTATTGTGTGCTCAAAAAAGCAAATATCCTGACAATCATCTTCTCCCTGAAAATRCACATGGATATGTGTTCAGTCAGAAACAATATAGTGTTTGTCATAATTTTTAACAACTTTTGCTTTTTATGGCTTTGTATCTTAGCAATGGGCCTCTCGGTCCTTGGAGTCGTATAGGGCACTGTGTTTTGTTGCTCAGCGTCTTTGCTGAAGTTATGAAGGACACTTGGTCTTAAATAGCAAGCTTTGAGGGAAGCTTTCTGCTAGCACAGAGCATTTTACTTGCAAGTTTTTGTCTAATCATGAATTGTAGCTGCCTAAGTTTCCCTTTAAGTCTTTATTCTTCACAGCTATAATATCTGCTGTGCTTATAACTGCTTATAGCTACTTCCTATCTAGYCTTGGAATACTTTCTATGACTGCAAATATTAAGTTTGCATTCTACATAAAATCCTTCTAATGGCTTTATTGATATAATACGGTTTTCTAAGGCAGCAGTATATTTGTAAACAATCCTCAAAGTAGTTGATTTTTTTTTCCTACCTGAAATTTTKCTTATGGAGTCTTTTTATTGCATTGTCTGTGTCCTAAGGTCTCTATTTAAAAATTGTTAGTGTAATGTAGCTTCAGGTCTGAGACTTTGAAGGAAAACTTGAGACTTGAAGGAAAAACAAATCACCCCAGCACTAAGAAAACATAGAACTGTGTCTAGATCCTTTGATTGTGAGGCATGAGGAAACTTACAGCATTCAATTCATTTGCTGGTGGGATTTTTGGATTGTATATTTTTTGCTGCTGTTCTTTTATATCTGCAGTACCTATAGTAAATTGATGGGGAAAGTAAGGGAAAGTAAGGACAACAAAGCTTTTGTTGCTTTTTTTTTCTACTTTTGGACTAATAGGTGTTTAAAAACAGGGGAATGTTATTCTTCACTGGTTAATCTCCTTGGAGACTTGTAAATAAATTTGTAAATAAATTGCTTCTCAAGAGAATGGAGACTTCGGCTTTACTTTTGGAGCCATGGAAAGGAGGGTCTGTAATTTGATTATAAATAATCATTGGTTTCTTGATGCTAGCAGTTAAGCATGTATATGGTTAGCAAAAAAAACTTTGTACTGCAAGGAAGATGTGAATAACGGTGGACTGGAAGAGCTTTATTCTTTATTTCAGATTTCGACCTATAAAAGGAAGGCAAGAAGAACTAAAAGAGGTGATTGAACGTTTTAAGAAAGATGAGCACTTAGAAAAAGCCTTCAAGTCCTTGACGTCAGGTGACTGGGCCCGGCACTATTTTCTTAACAAGAACAAAATGCAGGAAAGGTTGTTCAAGGAACATGTAGGTGTATTTGTAATTAATGTGCTTTTTCAGATGGTTGAAAGGCTAACATGATGTATTAACAAGTTTCTTAATGCAGTAGTAGTAAAGTAACCCACTGCTCTGTTATACCTTACTTGTTTGATTGTTTTCTAACAGGAAGTTTCTTTCAGTTGTTCGAATCTAGGTAACCCAAAAAGAAGGGGGAAGAAAAAACTAGTTTTGTCTTGCCTTGGATGTAATAGTAAATGCACACGTAGAAAGGAAACTCTGCTCTTCTGCTGTTGGCCTAAGTCATAAGCAGAAGACACAAGCACAATTTCTGGAAAATAGGAGTTTTGAAGATTTATTTCATTTTTTGACAGATGTTTCATTTAATCTGCTACTACTGTAAATGAAACTAGGGGCTGGAGAAAGCCAAAGMAAAAGTGAAAAACCTCACACCTTAAATACAGAGGTTGTTACTGGTGCAGGGCTCTGTGTGGGAGTACTGTTTCCTCTTCCCCCCCGTGCCCCTTTACCTTGCTCCAAAAATATATTGTGTATAGTAAAGGATGTTGACACTGAAAAATTACAAGGTTGTGTGAGCATTTTTACTTCAAGAGTTCTCTTCAGGGATAAGGGTAACTTTTCTAGTTGCTTTTAGATACAGCCAAAAGGAGTTAGGCCTTTTCCTGCTCTGAAACACAGCAGGAGTAGCAGAAGAAACTAGATGGCAAATTCTGCTTTCCCAAAGTGTTTGAGTCATATTGGCTTATTTGAGTAAAGCTGCCAAAAGGGACAACTTGAAGAGAACTGATGGAGCAGCCCCCAAATTCAGTATCCAGTCTTCTCATGAACAGTAATACATCAGTGAGAACTGGGAAGAGTTAAAATTGCACTCTACCAAATTTATCAGTTTTGTATGTTATGAAATGTGTGTTTGTATGGGTCTAGGTTCTTGAAGATCAGAGCAGAATTCTTAAGCACAGATATTCAGGAACTTAAGAAATCACTCAGGTTCATTGGTCTGTTCTGCCATTCAAGACRTCTTTAGTCTTTTGTTTAATCTTTAGACATTCAGGTGATCCATGCAAGTGTTCTTGCTAGTTACTTTGAAGAAGTAAAAGTTTAACGTAGTGTGTATAATTAAAATTGTAGTACTCAATTGAATATCTCAGGAAATTTAGCAGGTACATTTCAACAAATTCTTTACAATATTCATTTCTTTTTTTTCCCCCAAATTAATTGACCTTCCTTATCTTTATATAGAAACATTCTTGACTGTTTTTGTTTTGCTTTTTAACAGCACATTGCTGTTTTCTTTCATTACAGGTATTTATTTATTTACGAATGTTTGCAACTGACAGTGGGTTTGAAATACTGCCTTGTAACCGGTATTCTTCTGAGCAAAATGGAGCCAAAATTGTTGCAACGAAAGAATGGTAAGTGGCATGATTTACCATTTCTACCAGTTATTTTTGAAAGATATATACCAAGAAAGGGTATATTAAAGTGTTGCATAAAATTAAAACTTAAACTAGTAAAATATAAAAAAAGTTTTGTGTGTTTTTATTCTTTTTTTTTTGACAATCTGTACCCATATCTGCAATGTAACAAATTACCTATTTAGGCTTAGCCATGCAGACTTCTGTGTACAACTTTGTGTCATCTTGTTTTCTGTCAAATAGTTAGTTTCCTCAAATCAATAAGTCATTAGACTCCTGTGAGAAGCACATCAATGGCAAGATTCCTGTCAAACTGGATTTATTATATAACAGATAACTGGGGGGAGGGAATTGAGTCTTTCTCCATTGTGAAACTCGGGGTGTTGCATTTATTTTGTGATTGTGCAAGGGAAGTCTCTCCTGGAGACACAGACTCCAAACTCCATGYGTTTCCCCACTTCATTTTGTCATGCCTGAGTTGTGTGATGTACCTGTCAGAGGCAGTGCCAGCAGACTGGTTTAATGCAGGTGTTAAAAACCAAATTCCCTTCTCCCCAAGCAGCACTTCTGTTCCTTGTTTTGTTGTGTGGCCATGCACAGTCTCAGCAGCACCTCTGAGAGGAGAAGGTGCTCTTGTGCACAGGCTGGGAGCAAGTGGCCAAGGTGTGAGGCTGGAAAGGCTCCAAGTGAGCTGTGCTGTCACTGCATTCAGTGCCACTGGTCTGGCATGTTGCTGTAAACTAAGATGCGGAGTTTTCAGAGGGTAAGAAATGCATTAGGAAAGTTTCCTGTTATTGACAACTTTTTTTTTGAGAAGCTTCTGTCTGAGAATATGTGCTTTGAATCTTTGACATATGTATTCTTACTTGCACTACTCTGTTTACCCTGAAGGAAACGTAACGATAAAATAGAATTACTTGTGGGCTGCATTGCTGAACTGTCAGAAATGGAAGAAAACATGCTGCTGAGACATGGGGAAAACGACTTCAGTGTCATGTATTCCACACGGAAAAACTGTGCTCAACTGTGGCTTGGTCCTGCTGCATTTATCAATCACGGTAAGTAACAACTATAGGAAGAGAGTGTTAAATGACCCAAGCAGTTCTCTTCAGGTGCTCTCTCCTATGTAAGATAAAGCGCACAGTAGTGAACAGAACGTTTGGCTCCTGTCCACTGAATATAAGTGATGTAATTTGGCATTCCAGCTAGTGTAGACATCATCCTGTTGAGAACTGACCAAACTAGAATTAACACAGAGCTGGGTTCTGTACTAGGAAGATCACTAGAGGCTCTGGGAAGGGAGATCTTCCTTCGCAGAGTCTTTGGAACTGGCAGCTGAATTGTTGGAGTATTTTGTTGCCTACTCTGCGTTCTTGCTGCAGTTTAGTAGCGCACGTAGTCTGTAGTCTTGTGTTTCTGAGATGAGCTCTTTATTTTACGCTGTGCACAGAAATTTCTCAGATACTACTGTGTTTTTAAGCTCAAAGGGAAACAGGTAGGATTTAAGGCAAATCTTGTTACCTTAAAGAAAAGGGAAATAGAACATCTGTAATAGTAAAGAAGAGTTCAGAAACCAAACTATATGCAAACAAGCTGCTTCTGATACACAGCTACTGATACAGAGGAGTAACACTAACAAAACTCCCACTATTTAGTTGAGATTCTAGCATCAATGAAGTCAGAGTGAATCCTTACTTTAGATATCTACAACTATTCATGTTTCAGGTCTTATCAACAGTTAATTGACTTTATCTTTTGGACCTTTTTCAGATTGCAGACCTAACTGTAAGGTAAGCAGAAAACTAAATACTAAGCAACTCACCTAGATTTTCTCCCTATCCTTGCACCTTTTCCTCCCCACGCTGTTTTTTTTCTAATTCAAATGCTGTTCAGCCTTAATGATTAGTTTGTCTTTTCTCTATCCCTCTTCCTGTCCTCTCCCTCCCCAGTTTGTATCAACTGGCAGAGATACAGCATGTGTGAAAGCTCTAAGAGATATTGAACCCGGAGAAGAAATCTCTTGTTACTACGGAGATGGCTTTTTTGGAGAGAATAATGAATACTGCGAATGTTACACCTGTGAAAGGTATACACTGCTGTAAATAAGAATCAGGTGGAATTGAGTGTATCCATCATATTTTGTGAAGCTGAAAGGAACGTGATTATTAGCAGAATTTCTGAAATCTGTGATTATTTTTTTTCTAATTAGTCTTTTGAATGACAGAAGTTATGTGCTTTTTTCTCCCATTGTCTGCCCTGCAAGCTACACACAAAGAGAACAACCAGGATTCTTGCACAAGGAATAGAACAGAATTAGAAAGAAAAGACTAGGCAACAGTTGCAGTTATCAGACAGTTAACAACTACCTCCCAACTGCTGCTATTACTTCCACAAGCAAAAGCATTTTGTTTGTTTTTCTGTGTTGTTCTGATGGGAACAGGCCAAGTAGTCTTGAGTATATAAAATTAGAACTTCAGAGTTGATGTGAAGATCTACTGGTTTTGGACAGTTACCTGCTCGTATCTGTCCATTGCACAGTGATAGGAAAGCCTATTTCTTTGTTTCTTCACCTTTGTCATCCCAACCCAACTTTTTCATCATAGCATTTGCAAGAATTTCCTGAGTTTTTTTCGACCTGTTGAAACTTCTGATTCTGTCAGCATAAGCAGAGGTTCAGCATCATTTGTGAATCACCTAACTCTCTGTTTTAGCAGAAGGCGCTGCAGAGAACCTATGACAACTCTATGAGCTAATTATAGAAGGAGGAARGGTACAAAGGACAACGTACTAATCATATTTAGAAATAGCTTAATGCACACACATATAACTAGTTCAGTAATCTTACCTTCATTTTTATTAGCTAAACAGTTSCAGCGATTTAAAGGAATCTTTCAGTACAGACCTCTTAGCTCATGTGTCCTGGTAGGTCAGGGTTGGGAAAAAACCTTAAGTAGAGCCACTTAATAGATGACCATAGTATGAGAAGTGAAATATGTAGACGAGGCACCTGCTGCTTTCTGCACTGCTTGGTGAGCATTTTGTTCCTGCTCACTGGGATAACTGGGCACTAGATCTGATGGATGTATCAGAAAACAGTTCTGGTCCTCTGTAGCCCTGTTCATATCTAGTCTAAAGTGCTAGGTTCAGTCTAATATTTTGGCTGCCTGTAACTTGCAGAACCGAATATCGAAAGAATTCTGTGTCAGACAGTAGTCAATTTGAGTGAAAATGCTGTGCCTGCTTAGAAATGCTTAACCCTGTAGAGCTCAAGATCCTCTCTGGTCTCTTTGTGCTGCGGTTGAGGTTGAGTGTTAGAGGTTTGTTTCCAGTGTAGCACACTGGCATCCAAACAGAACTTCTAATTTTAATTCTGCAAAGTGCAAATTTGCTGAAGGGTAGCAAAAGGATTCTTGTTGTGGTGGCTGAAGGGCAGGCATTCTGCAAGAATTCTTATCTCCAGCCTTTTCCCTGATAYCTTCTGGTGTGAGGGGAGTTCAGCCTTGCTCAGCCACTTAAGTTTTGTGATAAATACGTGAATGGAGCCTTCTTCCAAGCAAAGACTACCTAAAGGATAATTCTATTTTTATATAATTTATAACTGATGCAGTAATAAGCATTATAACTGGAGCTGGCACCTCTTTTTGAGCTGAATGGATGTGGTTTAAAAAAAAAAAATCCTTTTAACTTGTTATCCAAGTTGATATCAAATAATATTTTGAACTACTGCATTTCATTTTCAACTATGTAATTTTATTATGAAATCCTTAAGTAGATAAAAGCCAAGAGGAAAAAAAGCTTTTGCATTTCTCCAGAAATAAATTGGAGGCTCTTCTGCACATYTTACTGAAATGACATATCTATGTGGATCCCTAATTGACGCATCCCACAAAATGCTAATAAATTCAGTAGATATTGGCATTGTTTATCTAAATATACGTAGGATTGTATATGACACAAAGTTCTAAATTTGTCAGGAGTTATTAATATATGGTGTTTTTCTTTTTTGTAGACGTGGAACTGGTGCTTTTAAATCAAGAGTGGGATTGCCAGCACCTACTCCTGTGATTAATAGTAAATATGGACTGAGAGAAACAGATAAGCGGTTGAACAGACTTAAAAAGTTGGGTGACAGCAGCAAAAATTCCGACAGCCAATCYGTCAGCTCTAACACTGATGCAGATACCACTCAGGAAAAAGCTAATGCAAGTAAGCAAGAAGAAAACTTGGTAAACAAGGTCTCATAAAAATGTGATAACTTCCACTGTGATGGGCTTGTTCTCTTTGTGTTGGGATAAAATCTCAGWTACTTGTGGTTTTTTAGATCAATAACCTATTCTGGGACTTGAAGGTAATTTATAGAGCAAATGAGTGGTTTACCTAAAGAATTTCTGGAACACAAGGTGGTATTTTCTTTTTTTTTTTTTTTGTGCATTTATATCAAGAAGTAACCAAGGTTTCATGTCCGTAAGCTTGCCAATAATAAGATAGCCACTGGTAATGGCATGTGGGGAAGTATATCTGGAATTTCGATGTGCTTGGCTTTGATTCCACTTGGGTCTGAGCGGCAGGCTGATCTATGTTTCTTTTCAATGCTGTCTTGTGTGCCTCAGGCTTTTCAATTAAGAACATGAAAGTAACTCCTGCTTGGGGGTGGGGAGGAGAACCAGGTTAAATCGGTGTCGTTTCACCATCTTATCTCTTGCTTTGACAGCTAACAGGAAATCTTCAATTGGCGTAAAAAAGAACAGCAAGAGCAGAACATTAACGAGACAGTCGATATCAAGAATTCCAGCATCATCAAATTCTACCTCATCTAAACTAACTCATATAAATAATTCCAGGGTACCAAAGAGACTGAAAAAGCCTGCAAAGCCTTTACTTTCGAAGATAAAGTTGAGAAATCAGTGCAAAAGGCCAGAGCAGAAGAATGCCTCTAGAAAGCTGGAAATGGGAAACCTAGTTCTCAAAGAGCCGAAAGTAGTTCTATATAAAAACTTGCCCCTTAAAAAGGATAAAGAATTGGAGGGACCAGTGAAAGTTGCAGTCTCTAGTGGATGCTTAACAAGGCATGCAGCAAGAGAATACAAACTGAATTCTGTGAAAGGTGCTCATGAGCAGGCTGGCGATGTCCCACCCTGCACATACATAACACGGAGGTCCATGAGAACGAGGATGAGTTTGAAGGAGACCTCTGACATAAAGCTTGAACCAAATACGTTGGATAGCTATAAAAGTAACTTGACTGGGACGCGATCGGACGTTTTAGAGCAGCAATCGCATGCGGGAAATGAGACTGACTCGGCTCACGGAACAGCCCATAAAGGGGAGGGCAGGTGCTCCAAAAGTGATACAGGAGTGTCCAAAAAGAAGGCTCGGCAAGGAAAGCTTGCGAAACTGCCTGCAAAAGCAGAGGAAACRGAGGTTACGCACAGCACACCCGCTAAAGATGAAGTACCAGACTTGGTCAGCTCTCATCCAGAACAAGGAGAAAAGAATAATGTCGTGGACACGCCTGTTAGCTACAATAAGGACTGTATCCCTGGGTCTGGTGGCTGCTCTGTTGTAACTTCTGACAATTTTAAAGCAAAAGACAGCTTTAGAACTGCAAAAAGTAAAAAGAAAAGACGAATCACGAGGTATGATGCACAATTAATTCTTGAAAATAGCTCTGGGATCCCTAAACTGACTCTTCGTAGACGCCATGATAGCAGTAGCAAGGCAAATGACCAAGAAAATGATGGAATGAATTCTTCAAAAATAAGCATCAAATTAAGTAAAGACCATGAAAAAGATAATAACTTATATGTAGCAAAGCTAAATAATGGGTTTAACTCAGGATCAGGCAATAGTTCAACAAAACTAAAGATACAGCTAAAACGGGAAGAAGAAAACAAAGGGCCATACCCTGAGGACCTTCATGAAAATGGTGTGTGTTGTAGTGAAACTCTCTCCCTTTTGGAGTCGAGAATGGAAGTAGATGATTATGGTCACTATGAAGAAGAAACGGCAGATGAATCTTCATCAGAGGAGGATGATGAAGAGGAGGATGACTATGATGATGAATTTGATGACTTTATTCCTCTTCCTCCAGCAAAGAGATTAAGGCTCATTGTTGGCAAGGATTCAATAGATATTGATATTTCTTCCAGGAGGAGAGAAGATCAGTCTTTAAGGCTCAATGCATAAGCTTATAGGTCTTAAACTGACCAGGATGTCATTTTTAAAAACAAATAAAAAAAAAACAACAACAATTCCATTTGATTATTCCTCAAGTGAAGAACTTTCTGAAAAACTTAGTGGCAGCACTTCTTTATTGTTTATTCACCTATCAACGTAATATTGTAGAAAGTGTACAGCAAACCGACTCTTCTTAAGTCTGATTTGTGCAGATTTTTATTGTACTTTTTAATAGCCTTCTTATGTGCAATTCTGAGTTAGAGTAAGAGGTAATGCTCTGTTGTAAAATAAAGGCTCAAGCAAAGTTATGAAATTGCATCAAATCTTTCCATGCAGGACAATGAGAATACAGTGTGGCTACACAATTATTTTTGATCCGTAAGAGCAGTAGTTTGCCCTTACAATATTTGACTAAATAATTAAAAAGAAATCATAGTAGCGTCATATTAAGGTTTTCTAGTATATGTTAATATCACCAGCAATGATCTACAGCTTTTCGATTTATTTGCTAGATGTTTTTCCCCCTTGGAGTTTGTCAGTTTTAACACTGTATGCTGTCCCAGACGTACTGTTTGTGGCCTTTGTTATAGTAGCAAACCGTTGGTTGGAAGTCAAATTGATTTCTTTGAAAGAAAAAAGAAAAAAAAAAGAAAAGGTGTTGACAATTTGCTGACTTTTTAGTACATTATATGTACAAGGGTAGCAGTATGCAGAATAAAAGTTTGGATATGGTGTATTTATTGCTTGTTATGTAAATTAAACACCTTGTATTTAACACTTTTCAATACTTTTAGATAAAATTGTTCTTTGCAAGAATGATTGGTGCTTATTTTTTCAAGAATTTGCTGTGAAACAATGTGATTACAATGGGCAGCATTTATCCAATGAACTGCAGCTATCCTAAATTGGTTCTTCATATTTTTTCTGTTGCACTTGTAAAATGCTACAAGGAATTTAAAGAAAATCTATTCACTTTAACTTATGATAGTTTTATGAAATTAAAAAGAAGAAAAAACAACTAAGTCACAGCTTTTGTTCTGTGGTAACCTATAAAAATGTTTGTCTTTTAAGAACCAGTTGTAAAAGACTGAAAAAATATGTATATGTTGTAAATATTTGTGTGTTGTGAGAAATTTTGTCATAAGAAATTGAGATAACTTGCCAGAAGGGTTTTTAAGTTTAGAAATACATTCATGCCAATAAAATAGGAAATTGTAAACCTAGTTTTAAACTCTGCATCAGTGGGAGTTCTTTTGCTCTTACTTAGTTCACTTGCAATTTGAGAATCTACTTTATCACAGCAGCTTCAGGGCAACCTTTGGCTCTTTTCTTTTTAATAAAAGAATGCCAAGAAAATGTAGTTGTGGGGAAAACTGGAATTGTTCATATGTGTAAATGGTAACTGACTAACAGATGAGCGGTTTCCCTGAAACAGGCTGAATGTGACAATTGTCACGACCGTATGGCACTTTGGGGTATGGTGTCTGCCTTTTCCAGAGCTTTTGTGTTTGGGGGTATGGAAGCAAAAGTCCTATCAGAAAACTCTGTTCAGCTGCCTTGAAATGTTTGGCTGCGTGGCCTTTTCCTGTCGGGTCCAAAGCAGAGCAAGCACCTGAGTCGCATGATGACTTCRCAGGTTTGAAAGCAGTTGCACAGGAGCTGATTGTGTAGTGGTTAAGCCACCTCTGGCACTCAAAGAAATGAAGGATTTTTCAAATACTGAAATGTATTTTAAAGGAATTAACTTGACTGCAAATCAGCTGGTAGCATCTTCTGCCTTCTTCACATTCCCCTTTTCATAGTGGAGAATGAAGTATAGAATCAAACCTAATACTTTTAAGTTTTTTTTAATGCCTGTCCTTCATTAAAAGGACAGCTCTGTCTCATAGAGGAGTATAAGGGGAGACCCTCCTGTATGTAATGCCAAGCTTCTTGTGTTGTGTCAGACTATGCTTGTTTTATTTTTGTTTGTGGAAGACTCCGCACAACTGCTTTGGTAAGTATGCTGCTGTTTCTGAATGCCAAGCCTTGTAGGGTTTTGTTTTTGTGTGTTTTTTTTTAAGTTTACTGTATTATATAAAAGGTTATTAATGATGGGGTTACAACAGAAAGAGATGGTTCATTAAGAGCTTATTTTATCATAGGAGACTTTCCACAAACAGTTATGACAAACAGCAGTAGTGCAACTATAAGCAAGAACTTGCTGGGGGGTTTAGCTGGGTATTTCTTCATCCCTCTTTGATTCCCTAGTTGTTTGTGGTGCTGCTGTTTCGAGTCTGCAGCCCACCCTGTTTGGAGGCTCAGACCAAGCAGGGTGATGATAATCTTGGTGCTTGTGGTGTGAGGCAACTGGTTTGCAAATTCATTAATCATTTGGACAACTAAGAAAATGGGGCAACAAGCAAGTGTTGCCCATGGTTGATATTTACTGGCAAGCCATGCTCGCTGACTGGTTAGAGCCTGCTAAATATCAAGCAGTGAGAGTAGATCCTGAAACAAGTGAGAGAAACCAGCAAGACAGCTGCTCTTAGTGGTGCAAGCTTTTCCTGGATTGATGTTTCTACCCCTCAGGCTCATACTTCATCCAGTGCCTAAATGTGCTGCCGTTTGGTTTGCTTTGGTGGGTTGTTTTGCACACAGAAGTACAAATAGCTCTTTAGACATCAGGAACACAATGAGCAAGTGTCACGTTTCGGAGAATTCAGTGCAAACGCAGACAGTCCTCTCCTAGGCAGGCAGATGTGTCCTGTTGCACAGGTAAGTTGCTTATATTTAAATGCATTCTCCAGGTTGAGCAGGTAGGAGGATGTTTCACAATCCCGGTATTTTCTGTCCTTTCTCAGCCACAGAAAATAGGTTATTTTTATTTTTTGTTTGCTGGCAGATTAGCGTGCTTCCCTAGCATSAGTAGTTGGGGAAGATGGACAGCGCTTGTGCTACAGGCAGGGGAAGGTGGCTGCTGTTCCTGCTGCCCTGCAGGGATAACAGAGCAGTTGTGCTCTGTTGGCAGTGTGACGGGGGGGTCCCCGTTTGGCTGCTGTGGCTCTAGTTCCTGAGCTGCTGGGCAGAAAGGGTGCAAGGGCTGAGCTGACCRTACAGCCCATTTTCTGGTGTGTATAAACACAAGGCTCAGGAAAAGTGGTTGCTACTCTGTGAGCATCCTGGCGTGCATGGCCTGCATGTGGGTGCCGTAGTCGAGGCCAAGCAAGAGCTTTTGTGTTTGTGCTTGTCAGATGTAGTAGAAAGTGTCCAAAAGGAGCMCCCCTTGGAGCTAATCAAGCAGGTTTTATTTCTGCCTCTTCTCTAATTCTAGCTGTGCTATACAAGCAGTGCCTATGGGACTTGGAAAAATTGTATTCAGTAAAATAAATCTCTTATGAACTCTCTGCAAGAATGTGAACATGCTGTTACTGGTTTGGTTGTAAATGCTGTAAATTTTTTTCCTTCTCTCTATATTTGTTGGTGCCTGGGTATTGCCTCTGTATGTACTTACGTACTTTGAATGCTCAGATACTACTTTGTTGTAGCTAACAGGAGCTATCAGTGTTATTCAGCTCTCCTTGGCAGTTTGGGCTTACTAAGTTACACTGCCTGTTGCTGTGTGTTCCATGCATCCAAAGTACTCCCAAGGCTATGGATTAAGGTCTGCTTTTAGCTGCTTTTTTTCCCCATTTTTTTTTTTCGGCCARTTTTGCGCAGTGCTGCCAATGCTTGCTCTTAAAATGATCTCTAAAGCAGGACCCGTGGTTCCCCACCTGCTTATGGCGGGCTGCCCTTCTCAGAGCCAAAGGAGGAAGCTTGGGGAGGTGTGCGGAGCAGGGCTGGCTGAAAATGAGTAGTCAAGTCTGCTCTCAGTGTGTTTTACTTGCTAGGTTTATGCACTTAGTCCTAAATTCCCTTCTCCAGGCAGTGTTCCCTCTGGTTTGGACTGGGTCATAAAGAAAATCAATGTACTTTAGCCTGTATAATCTCTCTTGCTCCTTACTGCCTCCGTATTTCCTGAGCTCAGAGGCGCACAGAGCGCTTGAGATGGGCGGGGATGTCTGGATCATCTGCTCAGCTCTCCTGCTCAACCAGGATCATCCAGGACTGGAAGAGCTGCGTTTGGAGACTCCACAAATTCAGGGCAAACCTGCTGCAGTGTGTGACCACCCTCGCTGTGCTGGAAGCGTTTCCTTACATCTTTGGGTTTCCTTTCCRATGTTCTTATGCGTGTCCTGTTTTCTTTTGTTCTTTTCTGTTGGGGGCTAGCAAGATTGCGGTCGGTTGCTTGTTTAGCATCATTTAGTGGGAACAACACTAGATATTTAGTAGTTCTTCATTGCCTGTTGCAGCAGCAGCTTTGACAACCAAGGGAACCTCTGTGCTAGTCACGTTCACGTAACAAGCCGTAAAACACTATTATTATTGCAAGGTTGTTTGAATATTATTCTTTCTTCCCACAGGCAAAGGAAATCCAGGACTTCTTCCTCAATCTAGGTAGCTGTGTTTGAGTTAACTCTAGGTTTCTCCTGGCTCCATGCTTATGTGGAACACGGTGGCAATAGTTTCTACCACAGAGGCAGTAGTTTGGATGCTGATGCTGGAGGGGACTGCTGCTTGTAGGCACAGGTATGTAAGTACTAAAGCAGGTATGGAGCTAACTAAGCAATGTTGCTCAGGAATTAGCTGCACTTAAAGCATGCAAAGATTCGTGTTATTGATGGTGAGGTTAAGCCAAGTACAGAGCTGTCAGTGAGTCCAATGAAACATGGATTTTTCCACTGATGCCTTATGATGTTCATCAAAGTCAATCCTGTTTCATAATTAAGCTTACAGTCTTTTCTGCTCCAATTACTACGCTTGGCGGCAACATTTTACAACAGAATCGCTTGTAAACAATAGATAAGGTAGAAAATGGCTGTAATAGGGACAAATTGGGTAAAACGGGGATTAACTACACAAATAGATGAACTGTGCGCAGCATTAGGATGGGACCACTGGATAACTCACCATCCAGAGTTTCCCACATCTTCTGGATGGTGCCAGATGCTGAAGCTGAAAGACGCCTCCTTTCCAGATCCCTGGATGCTGAGTTCTCAGCTGGTGCTGCACAACTACGTGTCMCCAAAGGCTTTCCCTCCGAAGGGGAGCCAGGCCCGGGGCCAGGCTGTGCCAGGCCTGCACCACCGCGTTCCTGGGACACCAAAGAACATCTCAGGGCGGAGAGGGGGTCCATATCGCTCATTCTTGAGTGTCGAACAGCCATTGCCAACTCGGGAAGAAATAGCAGGATTTCAGATCCAGCCTTGGACCTGACCTCAGCTCGCAGCGAGTTTCCTCAGAAAGGAAAATATTAGAAGTGCCTCCACTATTGAATGTAAAGTGGAGTATGGAATTAATTTTGAGTGCCATGCTAAGAAGAGCAGAAAAACCTTCATATATCTATTTTTAATATGTACCATAGAGTAATAAATGAAATTACTGGTGAAATTATGTTTTATATTGGAATTATTTTTCCTATATACAGATCAGTTGTGCATTCCAGATAACAGAAAAATAGCAGGTAAGAGATGGAGGAATGATTAATGAAAATGTAAGGAATTGAGCTGTTTGTGTGCTGAACTTTAAATGTTTTAGAAATATGCAACATCTTACTCATCTTCCTTTTTATACAGAAAAGCTTTGAAGATTATTGCTTTTACTTCAAAAAAAGCTCAAAACAAGAATATTTCTTAGGTTTCTAATACAAGAGTCTTTCTAAAGCCATATTTATACTTGTGAAACACCGATGCTACT